CATTTTACTAATTACTCGACCCCACAGCAGGAGATGTAACGAAAGGGGGGAGAAGAATTAGAAGTGGCAGAAGTGGAAGTGGGACAAGTAAAAGTACCAGAACCACTAGACAGATGGGGGGGGGGGCAGTGGAAAAATTAAACTTTTTGACTAACTCGTCATGTAAGTTTTAGCCATTTAAAGTGGAAAAGCCACGGCCAACATTTCATGCACATCGTCCGAGTACGAGTACTGGCCAAAAGTTTCCTTTCCTTCTTTGGGGGGCATTTAATTAGTGTGTGTGTGTGTGTGTGTGTGTGTGTGTGTGTGTGTGTGTGTGTGTGCCGGACAGAGCTACGAAACGGAGTGTAATCAACCCTTGAGGGGTCCTGGGTCCTGGGTCCGTTGCTGGTTTTGCGTTCTTCGCCTGGCTGACCATTTTCAATTAAGTTCTGAATGCGTATACCAGAGGGGGTGAGGGAGAAATGCCAGAGAAAAAGTCGAAAAATCAAAAATAACATAATTGAAAAATTAAAATGTTTGCTCTACACGAATTCCCCACTAGATTTCCCCTTTTTTTTTGTATGTACGAGTATCCGCCTCCCAAAAAGAATTTTTCCAAACCCAAAATCATTCCCCTTAAACATGTTTTTTTTTTTGGTCCAATGTCTGTTCTGTTTTACAGACTTTTTGGTGATTGTTGTTGCTTTTGTTTCTTTGGTGGAGTGCTCTAAATGAAATTGGTTTTTCAATTTACAAGAATTTCTTTGAATGGGCTCCCAAACAAAAGGAGAAACGTGGGAGTAACAATAGAAAAGGTCGCTCCAAGAGGGAGGGGTGGGGAAATGCAAAAATGATGGCAGCGTCAACACTTTGAACATGTTCGGACTTGTCCGTTTGTTGAGCTTTGCTTTTGCTTTGACTTTTGCAAACGAAAATGAAAGCAGCTGGGCACGAAGCAAATTGTGAGCCGGCAGCAAGGGAACGGGACCAGAGAGTGCGTGCAGGTAGAAAAGCAATACACAAAACGAGCGTCGGCCCACGATCCCCGAAGCACACACAGCGTACGAGCGAAGCCAGCTGGCGACAGAGCGGGCGACAGCAACGGAACATGAGCAGCGACGCGACAGAGCTCTGCTGAGAGCAGAGAGCGCAAGCAGCGCTGATCCCAAGAGCGCGAGTGAGACAGGAATAAGAACAATTTGCCAGACCAAAAGCAAAATAAATTAAAAACAAAAATTGCATCAAAACTGAAAAGAGACAGAAGTTAAGTTACTGCTGAAACGAGATGGAAGTTTATGGTCAAACATGGAATATTCTCTGGACTTTATTAGTCACAGAGACTACAATCATGCGACTAGTTAGGTTAGTACTTAGTTCTAGTGTGTGGTTTGAGCTACTTCAAAATCTAAACAACTAAAAATCTACAGAACCATGCCCGAGGCAGGATTCGAACCTGCAACTGTTGGTCGGACGGCTGAGATGTGGAAACAATAGCTCAGCCATCGACACCAAGTCAGTCGACAAGTGACCGAGATCTGAATGGATATAAGAATAGAAAAGGGGTTCCAATAGGAATTACTCACGAAATTCTTACAATTTCCCCGCGATAAATTATTTTCAGCATGGAACTTATTTTCCCCTTGGCTGTAGTCCAGAGAAAAGGAAGCCACCCATGAAATAGTAACGAGTTTCTATTCAGTTTGTGTGGCCACAAAATGTCCTTGGCTAATTTCAGCAAATTACTTCTGCACAATTTTCTTATCAACAGTCAGTCTCCTTGCTCCATTGTCCTACTGGTATGCAACCATGGATATGGAGAGACATCCCAGCAACTGAAGCACGACTCGATACATGGCAGCGATAGATCCTAGGACATGCAGCTTTTTTATGGTCACTCAAATGCGCATAAAACTTTGTCTGCTCCGCCAAGTACTCGAACTCGTCGCATGGCATGTGGGGGGATGTGCGTTCTTTTACGAGTTTTTCTCTTCTTTTCTTCTTGTGAGGCTGCCAAAAAGCTGCTGATTAAACGTTATGACAAATCTGCTGAATCAGTGTTTCTGGGGGGGGGACACACTTCAGCGCCTAAATACAATCGAATCCAAAATTCCGGTGCTCACATCGCTGCTTCAATGTTTTTACGATGCACAAAATGTAGCTGCAAATTAATTTAGGAGAAATATTAATAATAAGGGAAAAGGATGTGCCAAAAAGTGCTGTAAGTTTAAGAGAAATTTGTGATTGAAAGTAAAATTTAGCTCTCCATTTCGAACACTTTCAACGCACATTTGGCAATTCTCATAACGGCTTAGCATACAATCCCTTCACATATTATGATACGCACTGTACGCACACAATAACAAACTCAATATAAAATTATTTACAAAATGCATTTAAATTTTATTTGCCACATGTGTTGCACGCACAAAGCGAGAGAGCGAGCAAAGCGAACATTTTGCATCGTTATCCTGGATGGCATTGTCCGGTTTTGGGTCCTTGTGTTCCGGGGGCAGCAGCTGGCCAAACAAATTGAGAATTGATTCTTTATAGACCATTAGTTTTGATTATACAATAGTTGCTGTTGGGCAGCAGGGGGGAGCGAGGAATGAATGGGTGGGCGTCTAACGAAAGGTCTTACATGCCGGACGACATTCAATTGAACGCTTCAACGCCTATCGTACAATTTTGTGCCAAAAATTATGAGCCTCAGCCAGCGCTATTATAGTCTCCACGATATATGGGACAGCCGAACGCCCAGACATCGTTCTATCCCCCCCGAAAATCCCCTCGTCGTTGTGTGCTTTGGGCTCCAATGTTCATGATAAATTTGGGCTTATTTATCGGCCAGTAGCCAGTAGCCAGTGGCCAGTGGCAATTGGTAGTAGCAGCAGCGGCAGCGGCAGCGGCAGAACACGCACTGGCAGCAGCGTCGAATGTTTCGGACACTAAGGCTATTTGTAGTCCTTTGTGTCCCACATCGAATGTCGGGGAGGGGGAACGACAATCTATTGGGGGGGTGTCGAAGCTAATGGCGTGGGGGGTGGGTCTGCTCACTGATACATTAGCCGTTCATTCGCTGCAGCTGGTGTTGGTCGAGCGGCAACAACGAGCTTAAAGTTCAGTCAAGAATAATAAGCTTGCAGTTAAAGCTTGGACTTATAATGGGAGTGGGAAAGTGTGCAAAATGGGAGTTTTGACTGGGGAAATAAATAAGTTTTGGGAGCTCGACGAATGGAAAATGAAGGAATTTTAGAGGATATTTTTCAATGAATTTCAATTTAAATTACCCTACTGGATCCTTTGTTTTCCTCTCAAATACCTACCATAATCACTTCCGAGAGCTTTGCAATAATTTTAACCTTTTATGCCACTTAACCCATTGAAACCACACAAAAAAAAGTCCATGCAACTTATTGTATATTTGACTGCTTATTGGTGTCATTCGTTAATGGGGCTTCCTTACATCCAACTGTGTTTAAAACTCATTCATTTAAACATAATTATTGCAAATAAATAAAAAAATGTTTCCGCTACATTTGATTCAATTGATTTTGATTTCATTTTGCTGCTGTTTTCCGGGAGACATTCATATTTGTAAAATTGTTTTACAAATATGTACAAAAAAGCTGCTAGCAAATGGATTGAAATCATTGCATTTATCATGAATTTTCAATTGCAAATGAGAGAGTCGCGGAGCTACAGACAATATCTCATTAGGGCTATCCTCCGCAACATTAATGATTTTGTAGGACAAATTGGGTTTATGGTAGCGCAACAAAGTGCATAATTAATTAGCTGGTCAGCGTGTGGAATCAGTTGAAAGTTTTGTGGCCAGGCCGCAAAATAGTTGGGTTTACCTGATGCCCCCCCGTATATCCTTTCATCCTGCTCCGGACACTGCTGGCTGTGCGGAATTCAAATCACAAAATCCATGGAATTGTCGAGGACCATGTAGGCAGAGCTATGCCGTCGCCAAATGGTGCTGGCTGCTGGAAAATTATAAATGCGAAAATGTTTTGCGCCAAATTAGAGACGGTTTTATACGCAAATATGCGCGTCTCTTTAGCAGTGCTATTTATGACTACATAAATTCATATATGTTGTGCATGTATATATGTTTATGGATAGTTTAGATGGATGGATACATAGAAATCGGATTTGCATACTTCTATAGCGGCAGCAGGAGCACTTAAACTGCATTTGTACATGCATATGTATATATATATATGTACGTAGACGCTGCAGCGTCGCTGCTTGAAGCTTTCTAGTTCCAGAATATTCTCACAAATGCCTCTGCCGCCAACGCACTAAGCTGCGCACTTTTCTTGCTTTGCTTTGCCCACGCCTCTGCTGGCGTTGAATCCATTGCATACAGTTAGTTGCAGTCGCTGCTTATGTCATTGTTGTTGTTGGGACTGAGCGCGTGTGCAAGAGAGAATACGAATAAGAAGCTTCGTCGTCAGCTTCATCGTCTGCGGGCGCATTGTTGTTGCTGTTGAAAGTGCAAGCACTGTTGCGGAGTGGGGGTTGCTTTTGCTTACACGATCGGGTGGACAACAACAATGCGCACGCGAAGGCAAATACAAAGCAAAATGAAAGTCGCATGTGTGGGCTCTCTCTCTCTCTCTCTCTTAGCAGCTACAGTGCAGTTCATACAAATAGTGATGATCTAAAGAAAGCTTTAAAGGCGACAAAGGGAGCACTATAGCTATATTGCGGGGGGGAAATGCTAATAACAAATTTCTAAATAAAAGATATAAACAGTGCGTTTCATGGCAATAAGACCAAACTCCAATGCAAACTAACTGTTATTAAATATATCAACCTTAAAGTCATGTAACGCACTGCCTCTGCTGGCGGCTTTCCATTTAGTTTAATATTTTTGTCTTTATTTTTATTTTTAGGCTTTTTCTCATTGCATAATTTATCAATTAATTGATTAGATTTTAATTTAGTTTTTTTCTTTGTGCAGCGAATTTTGCAATATGTTTCGCTGTAATCCTCTTCTGGCCATTGCCCCTTTTTAGCTATTCGAACTAAGTCTAGTTTTTAGTTAATTACACATTTTAATGCTTTAATTACACGGTTTAAATGTGGGACTTTATTCATTTATGATATTTTACATTTAACAGCCTTATTATTAGCATTTATTTAGCTTTCATTCTGCGTGTAGGTTGTAGGTGTCCTTTTTAATCCTTACTCTTCACACAATTTATGGTTTCTCTTTTCGTGCAGTGTTTTTCTTTTTCAGTAAGTTTTTCGTTAGGGTTTTGGTATTTTTTTTCGTTTGGCTTTAACTTTTCATGTTTTGTTTTGTTTTTGTTTTTTCTGTGGGAACTCTCTCTATAATCTATTTGATTTATGAACTTTCACTTACTTTAACTACATTTTCGGTGCTATTTTGAGTTGATTTCTTGTGTAAATTAATAATATTTCTGTTTGCAATATTCCATATGCTCGAAGGGGTATTATTAAGATATTAAGTATTTAGTTGGTATTATTTACAAGCCAATATTTCTTGGGTGTTTCATGCTGTATTTCTTTACATACTTTTCGTTGTTTTTTTTCTGGGTTTTTTATTTACTTCATTTGGGTTTTCTTTGGTGGAATTCTAGTGTGGTTTCAGGGCTTGGATATTACTGGTTGTAAGGACTTGGTCTGGACTGTTCTCTAGATATGTTCGATTGGGGCAGCTATAAGGTGTCTGTGGGCAGCTATGGGTTTGGTTTACATCACAGAATCTACTGAAAATCATCGGTAGCTTTTGCGTTGTTTCTATAGCTAAATATCTAGCTAAAAATCTAGCTAAATATCGAAGTTTATGCTTGTGTCCATAGCCTTAAGATGTGCTCAATGTTAAGTAGATTTTGTGGAACAATTTTCCTGCGTTATCGATGGAAATGGAACTTCAACTTGAACTATAACTCTTTAAAGACTGATGTAGACTAACGTTAGCGGTTTCACTTTCTGTTCCTGTCATTTGTTCTTGATATATTCTAAGCGTTGCCTTGATTGCCTCCAATCCTGTGAACCCCACAACGCTCCTAGTACAATTCCAGCCTCTCCTTCAGCCCTTAGAAAACCCTTCCACAACCCAAACAAATTTCACAACTATTTTCTTTTAGTATTTCTTTCTCTCATTGAGCAATTCTCGAGTATCCATCGAGTGTGTCCTAACGCCTAGACATTGGCAGTGGAGCCAAAACTACTCATGAATTTGGTATCGCTAGCAGCTAAGCTGTTGACACTAGCTAAGGATTTGTTGTTGTCACCTGAACCAGCGAGGAATTGGTGATGTGGCGGCTGCTGCTGCTGCTGCTGCTGCTGATGTTGGGACTGCTTGAAGGACTGATAGGCGTCCGAGCTAACAGCCGACCAAGTGCCATCCTTGGCTTTGACATACAAATGCTGCTTGCTGGGCTGTTTGCTGCCAAAATGATAGTCCCCAGCAGCGGCGATCGAGGCACTCGAGGCCCAATCGTTGAGCAGCTGATTGGTGGAGTTGCACAAACCCAAACCGGAAAAGTCACCCGCCTCGAGGTTCTCAGCATTCAACGGCGGGCCTCCAGTGAGGAAATCCATATTACCATTGGATGCCACAATGGGATGCCGCAGCCCCGAGGCCTTGCCCAGTATATTATTTTCGCTCTTGTACAGCGTCTTGGGCTGTCGTTGGCGCCGCAGTGTGCCAGCCCCGCCGCCGCTGGCCATTTGGGCTGCCAGCGTGGTATTGGCATAGGCGCCCAGGCCCTGCTTCAGGGCGTTGCTGGCCAACAGGAGTTGCTGCTGCTGATTGAAAGGATTCGTGCGCTCCGTCTCGCATTCCATTTGTTCCATCTTGTTCTCCGTAATGTTGATCTTTTTCAGTTTGGCCGGGGAGCCGCCCATTATGGCCGTGGAGGCTGTCGAAGTTGTCATCAGATTTGGTTGCTGCTTCCCATCGAGGCAGCCATAGTGGGCGCTGGGCGGTGCCGAGTACATTCCCGTCGATTGATAGTCATTATTGCTCTGATTGTTGTTGTTGTTCGACTGGGACTGGGACTGGGACTGGGCCTGGGCCTGGGCCTGGCCCTGTGGCTTGGCTGCATAGCGATTCTGATAGAGCTTGACATTGGCCACCACATTGGTGGTGGCATAGGCCCCACAGCTATCATACAGCGATGAGGATGCCGTCGAACCCATGCCACCATGGGTGGGACTTTTGAATGTTGAACATGCCACTTCCGCATAATCCGGCATATTCAATGGCGAGAGTCTGCAAAGGAGAGAGCGGGAACCTTGTTAAAATTGTATTCAATGCAGTCGCAGTCGTACCTATGGGTTTGTGTCTGCCAATTGCATATAAATCATTCGGGCAGGGAAATTGCTTTTGTTTTTGTTCATGCAACTCCCGGAAATTGTTGCCACTCTCCCTCCCCCTCCCCCTTTCTATCTCTCTCTCTGTCTCTCACTCGTTACTCATTACAAATTTTGCGTTGCAACAATACGAAAAATTTACCAGTTTTAACTTTGTAATTAGGGGGGCAGACCAGGGAACTGCCAGGACTTCCATTTGCAAAAATCAAAAACTTTTTGGCCCTGCCAGTGCAACTTTTTTTATTGCTTCAATTTTTTGGGTGCTGGCACACTAATTAGCTAATGAGATAATGCTTATCCATCGCAAATTTCGTTGCAGATTGCAGGGGAAAACAAGAGTTCGGTGAGTGTAAAAATTAAGCAGACAAAAGGAACAGAACCACAGGGGCTTGTAGCACTAGAAATAATCGAAATAAAATACAAAATTGCAATAATTATTGTTCGAATTTATTCCTATTTCATGGCCTCACATTAAGCCTAAGGGAAGTTCCATTTGCTGAGCTCCAAAGTCCACAAAAGTCTGTCATAATACACTTTACGCAATTTTTCAGCAATTAATTTTTGTGGTCTGTAGACAGTATGGAAAATGAAAAATGATCTGAAGTGCCGCCTTGCCCGAGGACTATCAATTTTTAATTGTTAATTTAGCGTTGAAGATTGCGTTGCTCAAAACAGACAACAACCCGCGAAAGAAATTAAATATTTTAATTGGAAATTTTGTAGGCAATGGCGCAACCTGCCTGCCACGTGTGTCCCGAAATTACGCAAAGGGATGGGGGTTTGTGTTTATGTAAACAAGCAAAAATAAAAGAAGATTCTGTTTATTGTAATTCTGCTTATGTTGGACTTTTTTACGACTTTACAACGTTGTTAAAAAAGTGAGCAACAGACAGACAGGCGGCGTGGGGCGGGGAGGCAGAAAGGAAAACTTTGAGTTCGAAGGAAACACAACGGAAAAATTGAAACGGAAATAATGAAAATCGCGTAACGGAAGTGGCAACAGCATTGGAGGAATGCCACGGAACGGTGCGGGAGGGGGGAGTGTGCAGGGTGGATAGGAAATGTTTCAAATTGCAAGTGAAGTGGAAGGAAGAGGGGGAAATGGGGGAAAAGGTGGCAACTGGGGGATATGGGCAGGCACAAAAATTAAAGCGGGAGGAGACACAGAGCCTGAAGTCGAAGCTGTGTATACCCTGGAGGAGAGCAGAGCAAAGCTTATGCCAGATGCAACTCAGAGTACGGCAGGTGGAGTATAGCCCCCAATAAAAAGAACGAAAATCTAAACAAATAAATGCGCGAAACTTTCATCGAGGGTGCCGAAAAATGCCAAGAGCAAGTGGCACAGCAAATGCTAGTCCAAGACAGGTGTGTGCGTGTGCCAGAGCAGGACAGCAACATGTCGCCAGCAGCTGCCATTCCGTTGCTTTCTTTTTTTATTGCGTCTTGTTTTGGATTTTCTTACGCATTTCTTTGCTTTTGTTTTATTTTCTTTGCATTTACTGTGCCATTTCTGGTTACGTTGCTGTTTTTCGTTTTTGTTCCTGTTTGTTTGTTTTATTTTTATTGTTGCTGCCGCAACGGTACATTAAGCTTTAAGACAACGTAAGAGGAGTAAGGAATGGAAAAGGAAAAGGAAAATACAAAAGCGAAATAACTTTAGGGGTCTGCTCTTTTTTTCTAAGTAAGAAGTTTGAAGGAAAAGTGTGGCACATGTATCCGGGCTTAGGCGGCTTCAATGTGGCGATTAAAGCGATTAGGATGGAGATTTTTAGGGAAAATTCTCGGATGAGTTGACAGAAATCGAGAGGGATTTATCAATGGAAATATATGAAATTAAAAGTTTTTAGAGTGTTGCGTAGAATTTGTAATGACTGTTTGAGCTGGCTGATAAGTTGATAAGTTTGTGTGAAATTTTAAAGTGGGAAACTGAGAGGATTACTTGGGGAATATTTGAGGGATTTTGTTTTGTTTTGTAAATGATTGAAATTGATTTTTAAGCTCTTTGTTTTGATATTACTTTGGCAGCTGTCGGATCAGAAAGAGCAGAAAACTACAACACAAAAAAATAAATAAAATTGCAAAAAAATCACACAAATATAAGAGAGATCAAAAACGCAAAGCAGCCCCGAGGAAATATTAATAAAATGCGTGGAAATATGCAAATGAAATGACGCTAACATTTCCGTGGGGGTAAGTTGCCATGGCCCAAAGTAAAACCCGTTCAAGTGTAACAATTTAATGGCAGAGGGAAGATGATGCCAGTCAGGGGCGGGTTTTTCGGGGGTACTCTGGTTGAGGTTTTCGGTTTTTATGGCAGGCAGCGGTTGCTGCAAATATTTTTTATTAGCCCGCTCGTAAATAGTGGCCCAAACCAATGGATCCTTGAATGGGAATCCCCCTTTCCACTCTGGCCCATGCGGCTTGCCAATTTTTATTGTAATTAAACAGTCAGCGAAGCGTAGACAGGATATTAAGGTAACTTCCTGTGGAGATAAACAACCCTTCCCCGAACAGAGCCCCACACTCACCTCTCGTAATCAGGCAGCAGCGTTGGCTGTTGCTGTTGTCCCTGTTGGGCGGTGGCCTGTGCGTATCCCGGAAGTTGCTCCTTTGTCGTACCACCTCCAGCGGCAGCGCCAGCAGCAGCGCCTCCCCCTGCTGCCTGTCGCCAAACACCGCCACTGGGATCGATCCAGAGGCCATTGGGGCCGTTGGTGGTTGATGTCGAATTTGAGCCGACGGCACCGACAGGTCCGCCTCCATTTAGCGGCAATGTTGGAAACTTTCGCACGGTTCCGATTGCGTGATTGCCTGAAATAAAAGAAAAACCCGGGTACATGTATGAGCAAAGACTAAATATCGGAATGGTTAGGGTTCTGTTTGTTTGTATGTGTGCACTGCCAATGATTACGGCTCGTTAAAACTAAAACGGCGAAGGGGAGTTGGTGGGGTCGCCTAGCTGTGTAACGTGCAAATAATAAAAGACGGAAATTACTTTTTATATTCAATTGGCAAAAGCTTTTGCAACGCCCATTAGGAAACGATATGGAATGAGCTGTAAAGGAAGGGAATCACAATCATACTGTGGGTATATTGGATTAGGCAGCAGACAAAAGATCAGCAGCAACGGAATCAAAATGAATTCTCCAGCAGAAATTGCCATGAGCCCCACTGTTTAGCTAAGCAGCTACGTGCGCACTTGCACTGTTGCATTGCTTTTGTATTTTTCGTCTCCGCTTTCAGCTAGTTTACCGTTCCATGTACGGAGACTCTTTCGCTCTATCTCTCTCTCACTCCCGCAACGATGCGTCGCGATATGGGACACCGTTTTTCCACCACCATTGCGGGCGGCTGGCTACCTGCCTGCACTTTTTGCTGCGCTCTGCTTTGGGCACAGCAATAAAACTTTAGCTCAGCGCTCTCCAAACTCTGCTGCTACTCCTCTAGGGTAACTTCTTGTCTTTACACATTTATCCCCACTCCCTTTTGTTTACTTTTGTTATGCCATTTGCTTAGAGTTCTGCAGTTAGACAATTGATGTGATTTTCACGTGAGCTTTTGTCGTTTTTATATGCTAGCCAAACCTCCCTCTAGCTAGGAGTCTTCTTCAACCTTTAACCACGCTCTGCTCTGCTCCAGTTATCGTTGCTTGTTTATCTTTTTATAGTCGCTTTAACCTTGGCGTTCGCTCTGTGGTCCCTCTGTGTGTGGCTTGCTGCCAAAGATTATTACCCTTGGGTTTCCGTTTTGGGGGAGTTTCTTGCCTCTTTTACAATGTTATGAAGTGCGTGTCTGCAGTTCTTGTGGCCTTACAAAATGGCAACCTAATTGAGACTGAACGAACGCACATAAATGCTCAAGTCATAAATCATAGATTACAGAGAGCAGGAACAAAATGTTTGCATGTAGCCGGACGAAACGATTGAAGATTGTCTTGGGTAAATAAGAGCTCAGTAACTCCCCCATTTAGCTGAATATCGGAAATTCTACAACACCAAACAACCCTCCAAAATTCGGACTAAATTAAAGTTGAATGTTAACATAAATTCCAACAATCACCAAAAGCCACCCAAAAGGCGACAAATGGCACCCAAAAATATAAATTTAAATTAAGGATAAACTGGGTACAGGCTATAAAGAGTGTTGGGTAAAGGAAATGTAATCGCACTCACCATGCAAGCTGCCCAGCGAGGTCTGCTTGATAAATTGATAGCGCTTGAATAGTACCAATGCGCCCAATAGAAACACAATTATGGCAATGATGGAGCCCAGCAGGACGATAAACCAGGTCTGTGTTAAAAAGTCATCGGCAATATCACGACTGATGGGGTATCTGCAATAGACAACACAATAAAGAACACAGAGAATGAGTATCACATCGCATCCTAGCTCCATCCCCCCAATTGCCGCTTTTGTACGTGGCCTGGCGGAGGCTTAGTTTAATGGTCACAAAAGTCGTTCGTGGGCCATTGTCGTTTGTGCCACGTTAATGGATTGATGCTGGAGCCAGTCAAATGAGCACCGACAACGCTCCTCCTCCGCCACTCACCTCGTATAGCCCGTGTCCAGCGACTGGGTGCGTGCATCGATGCGGAGCACTGCCGGATGGCTGAAGGGTCCAACGCCCACCCGCGTAGCAGCCGCCACGGCAATGTAGTAGGTGACTCCCGTGGTGAGGTTAGCCAGCAGCAGTGTGGGCGTTGCCGCATCTATGGTCATATTTTTGAATATCCGCGTCGTATTGTGCACATCCAGTCCTTTGACGACCACATTGTAGCTGGTGAGGATGCCTGTTGTGCGCGAGTGCCAGAGTGGAGTGGGAAAAGAGAGAGACAGAGCAATGAAATTAAATGTAAACAAAAGAAGAGACTCGACATGGTGGTTGCGACTTTCTGTCTCTCTGTGGACTCATGCAGCAAATGTTGTAGCTTTAATGTTGCAAGTCTGCTTTCTGGCATTCTGGATACTTAGCAGAAGGAAGTGGGATTTATTCTTGTATTTTTAATGGCACCAAAACAGGTGAACAGCGCCTCAGTCAAAGCTTAGCTACAGAGTAACAGCGATGTTAACAGTCTAGGCTAACCGACTGTTAATGCTCTGCGCTAACAGCCTGTGGCCGCTCCCCCTTACAGCGCACTGTTAGCGCTCACTGAGAGCGATCACTGTTAACGCTCTGAGCGTAAGCTTCGCGCTTGCTCTCACGATGCACACGATGCGTTACGATCCACGTGCGAAAGCTCTTCGTCTCTTTACATACGTACCATTGCGTGTTCGATTTGGTTGCGGTGGCAACCACTTCAAAAAGACCGAAGTGCGATTGAATTGAATGGCTTCCATGCCATATGGCGGCGCTTCGGGCACTGCAAACGAGAGAGACAACCAATGAGTGAGGGATAAGCAGAGGCAGAACCAGGAATGGGCAGAAGAGTATGACTGAATGAAGGATGAGAACAGGCAAGGCAGTGTCAATCTCCTCTTACCATCTTCCAGCGTGCGCACATGCCGCGAGTTCGATGGCTTTCCTACGATGCTCTTGTAAAATGGCACAAGAAAAAACTCATACGTAGAGGCTTTGGCCAGACCCGGCACCGTGCAGGAGCTCAGTCCCTGCCCCTTGTTCAGCAGCGTCATCATCTTGTACTCCGTGGAGTGCAGCTCCCTGGCGTACAAGTAGAAGCCTTCGATGTACTGGCCACTGTCTATGTCCCAGGAGAGTTGTGCCGTCGTGGAGTCACTCGCATTCACATCGAGCAGCTCCACAATGTCGTTGGCCTGCAGCAGCGTCTCCACGTCGCTGAGCAGCAGCTGGGACGTGGAGGAACCAATGTCACTGCCATCCCGCACGCCGATCAGCTTGCCGCCTGTGATGGGCTCCGAGATGGGCGATGGGGGGGAGAATCCCAGCGAGTTCTCTGCCCGCACAATGAACATGTAGGCGGCGCCCTGCGTGAGGCTCTCCACCGTGAAGATGGGCTCCGCCAGTCGTGCGGCAATCGGGATCCAAGTTTTGCTTTGGTTCGTGCAGTACATTTCCACGCTGTAGCCGAGAAACGAGGAGGCTCCCGCCTTGTCGCTCGTGGGCCACACAATCGTCAGGGCCGAGGCCGTCGCATTGAGCACCTTCGGCTGTCCGGGTGCCGTCGGGCATTTGTTCTGCTCGGGCGCTCGATAGAACTTGATGTTCGGATTGGTGGGCAGTTCGATGCGCAGGAAGCCGCTCCACGTGGACTTGCCCGCCCGGGAGCTGGCCACACACGTGTACAGACCCTGATCCTGCTGGCGATCCAAGTCGGAGATGATCAGATCCCCCGCTGTGGTGATGTTCAGCTTGCTGCTCGGCTGCACGGGTATGCCATCGCGATACCAGGATATCGTTGGATTCGGCAGACCAATTGCCTTGCACTGCAGCGTCGCCAGGGACTTGGTGGGCAGCGTTTGATTCACGGGCCCCGCGATGATGATCGGCGGCGGACGATCCTCCTGCGAGTCGAGACTCAGCAGCACCCGCGACGTTATGCTGGACACTTCGTTCATGGCGTTGCACAGTATGACCAGATCCTTGTCGGAACGCTGGAATCTCGTCAGCGTCAGTATGGAGTGTCCCTCCTCGGTGTTCAGGCTGTGAAAACGATCCAGCGGCGGTGCACCCGGAAATATCAGCGTGCTGTTGTTCTTGATGGTCCAGAAAATCGTTGGCTTTGGATTGCCCGTCGCTCGGCACTCGAAGGAGGTGTCCGCCTCCAGTTCCACCGATTTGCTGGCCGGTCGTTGTATAAATTTCGGGGGTGCTACGGTGCAGTACGGAGGGGGAAAGGTGGGAGATGGGGAAACTAATTAGCTAAAAGTGCTGCAACTAGCGGTGGTCTAAGCGGAGGGACTGGAACTAAAACTTACCGTAAACTGTCAGTGTGCCCATGGCAGTGATGGCGCCCACCACATTATCCGCCTCGCAACTGTACTCGCCCTCATCCGCAATGGTCACACGCTCCAGCTTCAAGCTGCGGTCTTCGAGGACACTCACGCGATCTGAGAATAGTAAAAATAATCAATTCAAATGCATTCTCTCACTGGCAATTCCTTTTCTTACCCAATGGCATATTGCCACCCGAGGCGGTGCGCAGCCACAGCACATCCGGCATGGGGTCACCGCCCACACGGCAGGGAAACGTCACGGAGGCACCTTCCAGAACGGTTTGATCGTGAGGTCCACGTATGATGTAGGGCTTGACTGCAAATGGGAATTAGGCGGAGGAAAACGCTTAGCGGCGACCCATAACGAAAGGTAAAACCTGAAAACCCAAACCCAAACCCAAAACCCAAAACCCAAGTCACATTTCACAAATTGAACATGACACATTGATTTGAGGTGCGCTCGTAAGTGGTGTGTGGAAAACTCGTGGTTGTGGGGTAACTTTTGCTAGCCCTTAACCCTGGAATGGGCGCAGCTGCTGCTTGTGTTGGAATTTTAAGAGTTTTCCTTGAGCGCTGCACTGCGATGTTAACAACATACGGTAACAGCCGCCTGTTAGCGCGCGCGCGGCTAACAGCATGCAGTAACAGCACACTGTTAGTGCTCACTGTTAGCGCGCTGAGCGTGGGCTTGCGCTCGCTCTCACGATCCGCGCGGCTCTCAACAGTGACAACAGTTTTAACCTCTGATTTATCTTATGTCTTATATTTTGCGTATTTGCATTTATGTGTCTCCCCATTGAACCCAAGGGCACCATCTACGGGCTAATCGCTTACCATGTACTTTGAGCGTTGCCAGCGACGACTCGCGCACCCCAACGGGATTCTTGGCTATGCACTGGTATTGACCCTCGTCAGTCTGTCGGGCATCCTGAATGGCCAAATTGCCGCCGTCAACGATGCGTACACGCTTCGAGCCCTCCAAATCCAATTTCTGTCCGCCCTTCTTCCAGGTGACGGCAGGCTCGGGAATGCCCCGCGGTGCCGCACACTCCAGCAGTGCCGTATCGCCCTGGGCGATGCGTGTATTCTGTGGCTCCAGGCGGAACTCATCGCGAAGCACTGGAAGTGAAGAGAGAGAGGGGAGGAGAGAGAACGTGAATATGGAGCGTCAGAGAGAAAGTGAAGCAGAAGAAGGATGACCAAATGATTATAACAGTGAGTGTCTCTCTGTGTGTGTTGGCCCTGGACCCTGTCCATTTGTTAGGGGTTATAAATTATCTTGGGTGGGTTTTTGCATGATAAATGCCCCATGTGTCCTGTCCAAAGTCCTGCCTTAACCTGCGGCTCCTGTGGGTGCTCATGTGTGTGTGTGTGTGTGTGTAGGGAGAGCGCGTGTTTGCGGCCTGCCAGCAAAGATAAATTGTTGGTAAATGGCACAAATGTGATTTTTATACGCCATTCACACACACACACACACACACACACACAAAGGGAGACAGGCAGTGGGACAAAGAGCGACAGAGAGAGAGGAAGCTGGTTAGCTGCTAAAGAATATCTTATAATTTGTTAAAAATAAGAGCCGTGGTGGAATTTTCAAGCTTAATTCGATTGGATATTGATTGCAGCGAAAAATGTAAAAAAAAAACATCAAAATCTTCTGTAATATTTCACCGTTAAACTGCAGCTTTTGGCATTTAATTATAAATCTTTCTTATAAAGGTTTGCCCAGCATAAATTTACTCAGCATTTATGCCTCGCCAGATTTTTCTGTTACTATTTCCCTTCGCTCCCTCTTTTGACCATACATCTGTCACAATCATGCATTTCAAAAGCTCTCTTTGCTCTGCCTTTGTGCATACTAAATCAGAGTATTATCATCATTTTGCTTTAGCTGCAGCTGCAGCTGCAGTCGCTGTCGCTGTCGCCATCGCAGTCGGCGTCGCAGTTGCAGTCGCAGTTTTGGAGCGCGCGACACAAAGAGAGCGCGAAAAAGTCGTAACTCACGTCGCAGCTTTGCAGCTCTTCGCTCTTCAGCTCTTCGGCTCTTCGCTTCTCCGCTCTTAGCTCTTCTGCTCTTATCTTCCTGATGACAAAGCGGTCTGTCGCTCGCTCTACGCAACTTCTGTGAATGTGGTCAGAAAAGGTAAACCTGTAATTTTCACACACACCTGAACATACCGCTCTTCCAGGCTATTATTTGTCCTGTGTGCATTTCATTGCGGGTGGATTGCTGCTCGTGTAATAAATCAAGCAACTTTCAAGCACTTGAAAAGCAGCGCCAAGTAAAATTTCTACTCTATGTTTTCCACCCACAGAAGCAACCTTTTGTGCAGCTCCAAAAAAAATAAATATATCTGCATGGATATTCCCAACGTATAAATCCATGGCGAAAGCAGCTTTTACGTAAATTAAATTTCGCTTTTCGTTTCGTTACTTTTTTTTTTGTTGCTTCCTTTTTTTTTTAATCTACAAAGTGAATAAGCGAATTCTTTCTTTTTTCTGCCATCTTTTTACTGCGCTTTGGCTTTAGTTTAGCTTTTTTTGCTGCTGCTTTCTTGGGTTATGCAAAAATGTGCTAAAATCATGACTTTTATTAAAATTTAAACTTGAAGCGCAATAAATCAATGGCGAGAAAATGGCCCTCAAGGAGGAAGGCAACTTTTAAGAGCAAACTGTATCGAAGCGGCACACAGCAGGAAGCAGCAGAAAGCAGCAGGAAAACACGCCAGCCATCAATAAATTAATCAAAGTCATAATCAGTGTCAGGTTCACTGCCAATGGGCGAAAGTTTCTGCTGCTGCCACGTAGGCCTTTCGTGCCTGGCTTGTGATTTTTTTTTTTTCGTCTGTTTTGTCCTGTCCTGTGGAAGGCCATGGCAGCGGCTGAAGGTGCTCAGTGCTTGGGCATCATCTAGCGATAATGATTGTCTATATGTATCACAGAGTTACGAGCAAAATGGCAACTACTGGAACGGCCGAGACGTGATAAATACTCGGCCGCTGGGCTAATTGCGGGATAAAGTTATGCTGCGCTAATCATTGATTGAGGAAGTGATTGCCAATAAATCTGGTTAAAATCAGCAAGATAATACGTATTTATTTATGCTAAAAACAAGCAAAAAACTCCACCATTAAGTCTCCCCAGAATTATTTTCCCTGAGCAGCTCACACCCCGAAAGCACAGAAAAAAATGCCGTAAATAATTCTCCCCTCAATTTTCGCTAATGCTAGGGACTCAAACACACAGCGAAAACCCAGCGCTAATTCCTATACTTTAAACAGCAGAAAACCCATCCAGGCGATAGATAAATTTACCTCTTCCCTCACTCGAATATCAGTTCAAAGGTTGTGACTGTGGCTGTCCTGTGTGCGTGTGTGCTGACAGAACGCTGACAACATCAAAAATACATACGGCAACGAGGGGGAATACGAGGCATAAATATCGTACAACGAATGTGCAACTTATGTTTACTATTGACAAACTCACGACGAGCCACACAGGAACAAAAAATGACAGGGAAAAAAGTGTGCAACGCCTACGAGAGTGCCCCAAGCCCACAGGCACTTGGAGGTCCTTCCACCTTTCAGATTCGTGTTCTTGGATCCACTCCCTCTTCGATGGCTGCTTCAGCTCCCAGTCTCCCTTTTTGCTGTTAGCTCTTTTATTGCCTAACCCAATCAATGTGAACGCCTGCTGCCATTGCCTCGGTCTCAGTCGCTGTCCTCTGCGAGTAGATCCTGCATGTCCTACTTGCCAGCCCCAGAACCAGCCCCAGCCCCAGCCCAACCCAACCACAAGCCGCAATAACGACGTTTTAACCAAGCAAACAAATTTGACGTGCTTTTCGTGATTTACATGCAAATATTGAAAAATATTCCCCAAGGATATATACCGCAAAAAGCAAACCAGCAGAGAGATAGAGAGTAAAAAAATAGAAACGAGAAGGAAACACACATCCAACATGAAGGAAAAATAAACTCCACAGACCAAATATCGATTTTTATGTGGGGGGAGGAGCAGGGAGCACGGACATGACAGGCGGGCGGACAGAACGGACAGAACGGACAGAGGGACAGGCGGACGGGGGAGAGAGGAATGAAAAGGCAGAGGCAAATAAAAGAAATATTAGCCAACAAAAGACAAAGTGGCGGTCTCTGTCGACTGATATGGAAGGGCTCCCTGGGCGTGGGCTTCAGTACCTACTTTCCATGGTGCCTAAAAGCAATGCTATCAGCGCGGTATCTCCCTGCTTAACCCCATGGCTCTCTCCCTGAGCATGTGGAAAAGTAACCAAAAACCAGAAAGTTTCGCCTTAGGTTCGCTCAAGCGACAAATGATCTTTGTAGAGGGAGCCAGCCACTAAGTTGCAAGTGGGAAAGAGGAGACCCTAATTTGATCCCTAAATTTCATTGTTCTAAATAAATTGTGCAACTAATTCGAGCAGCCCAAGACCAGCTTTGAAATTGTAGAAAAAAATCCAAGATTGAGCTTATTTCTGTTGTTCGAGAATATTTGCAAGAAGGGAATATTCCAGCAGTGCCGAGAATGACATGGGTATTTTGCGGTATTTTGCGGTATTTTATAGTATTTTCTGGTATTTTCTAGTAATCTCTTGCAGAGCGTTTGCTAGTATTTTAACGGTATTTTCTGGTATTTTGTTAGTATTTTCTAGTATTTTTCTTGCTCGAATTTCTAACCCATGGTTCTTATACTATGGCATTGTCAGGACACAGTTTTGGGTATTTTTAGTATTTTCTGGTATTTTATTCTATATTATTTTATTCCCCATCAGAGCGTTTTCTAGTATTTTTCCAATATGATTCCTGCATCATTTCTGTAGTCCCAGAAGAACCCTCAACAGTCACACTCAGACCCCATTAAAATTCCGTCCCGACCTGTCCCAACTCACAAACTGCCAACCACGGTATGTGCCATGCTAGATATGGCCCCAATAAATCCCGCACACATCAAGCTTCAGCTCGAGTAAAAAGGTTTCAAAAGTCAAAAATAGAAAAGCAAAAACGAGAAAAAAGCGAACCAAAAAAAAAAGAAAAGTCTGAAACGAAAACGGGTTAATGGAGGCTGGAATACGCTCTATTGGAGAGCCAAAAGGACTGGCAGGGAGCGGGAGGAACGGCTGAAACTCTGACAAGACAAGTGGGTGCGTTCGAGCGTAAAACTTGTAAACGCAGCAGGCAGATCCACAGAGCTAGTTAGTTGGGTGGGCGGGGTTTGAGGGCCAAAAAGCAAAAAGCAAAGGCAAAAAAAAGGCTATCCTCTGCAGCAGAAGTAGCAGGAAGGAGGAGAGGCCCCACGACAAGGGGCAAAAATCAACATCAATTTAGAATATTAAAAACGCACACCACACGCTCCCTGTAGGAACGGAGAAGGAGTGAGTCGAAGGAGACTCCGGATGCATGGGAAAGGGGCAAGTTGTTGACTTACCCGCCACTTGCAATGTGGCATTCCGGCTTCGTGCCACGCCCAATTCATTCTTTGCCTCACACCAATAGACGCCGGCATCTGTTTCGCGACGCGAATTGACAACCTGCAACGAAAAAAAGATGAAGAAAGAGGCATAAGGAATGGCTTCAAGGGGAGGCAAGTGGCAATGTGAGTAATTATAATCGAAAAGCGCAAGAGAGGTATGCCGCATTTTTCAGGCTGTTTGAAAGATTTCATGGGAGATAATGTAAGCATTTCTGCGGTAGCTTCGTACATTTATTCAGTTTTATTTATGGAATTCCTTTCATTTTCTTTGACTCACTTTCTGTATGCCCCAAAAAGTGTAACTTCCCATTCGCCTTTCCCTAGCTCACAAATCCCCCCCATTCATATTTGTAATTTCACAAATGGCAAACACAGCGAAATCTCTTAGAGAACTTTCGCCCTAAGACGTTGATTTGCTGGCAAGGGAAGTGCTCCTCCTTGGCTCTGCCTTTTTCCTCTGGCCCTAAAACAGTCAGCAATCTGTTGTATGTGGCGCGTCTGCCTGCCTGCTCCCTGCTGCTGCCTTCAAATCATAAAACGTCTCTTGAGCAACTTTATAGTTACAACATGTCCCTTCTGTCTAGCTCTCTGGCTCCTGCCCCGCACATGGCTCCTTTTGGCTGTGTGTTGTCTTCAGTGTTTGTTTATTTGCTTTTTTTTCTGGAGCACAAAAGAATTCCCCAACATGCGCTTAAAATTAAATGTCAAACTAAGTGTATCCGTGTGTGTGTGTGTGTAGCATATTTATCTGTTCCTTGCAGGAGCACAGCACACTGGCAGGCAACAAAGTTCGCACAATTTACACACAACTTCTGCCTCGATGCTGCTGCTCCTGCTCCTCCTTCGGCTGAAATTAAGTGTTGCGCTAAGTGAAGATGACAAAAGGGTTCTCCAGCTGTATTATTCTTTCATTTAATCTTCACTTCCTCAGCTGTATGCACACACGCACAGATATCCTTGCAGATGAGAGCCGCGGGGGCGCTTTATAAAACAAATAAGATGTCGAGGCCTGAAGGCGCAGGTCTTCATATGTGAAAGAGGAAACTTCAGACACAAAACAGCGCTCAAAGGCAACAGGATTAAGCGGCACAAAGTAATAGTGGCGTGTAGATGTAGTTGTATATGTAGATGTAGAGATACATATACATTTGTGAGACTTCATCCTTTTATCTTGCTGATTAATCAACTGTTTTGTGCGGCAAGCTGCCAGTCTCCTTACTGCAAATTTAAACTCAAGTTTTCTGTTTTCTTTGCTTTAATTTAAATTTAATTTTAAACTCGCCCCCTGCCCGGTGCCTTGACCACTTCTCAAAATCCAAACTAAACCTCAACTCGACAACTCGACTGACCCATTTTCCATTCATTCATTCCATTCCCAGCTGCATCTTCCCCGCTTTAGCTGCAGCTCCCACCGCTGTCATAATATTAAGCATACGCAATGTGGTCCCTGAACTGTGGCAGTGGCACTGGCACTGGCAGAGGTAAACCCTGAGCCTAAGCTCATTAGCTAGGCACGGAGCGGAATTGCTATTAAAAATTGAAATGAATTACGAAGCAGAGCAGCCGTGGGCAAGCCCCGACTATCCCTTTTTGGGGTTGGGGGAATATCAAATAAAATTAAAACAAAAATTCACTCGTTGGCAATGGCAACGCGTTGAGCAGCAAAATGAATTGAAGTACAGTGCGTGAAGGAAGTTTAAGGCCACGAAAATTCGTACCTTCATTTTTATATTTTTCTTTGATTTTTCTTACGATTTTTGCTCCATTTTAAATGTCTTAAAATGTGTTCATGCTCTGCCGAAACGCACTGTACTGCCATAAATACATTTATATATACTTTGTCTGATTGTCTGTCCCTAAAGCAAGTACCAGACTAAGTCCTCTCTGTGCCCTGCCCTGCCCTGCCCTGCCCCTCCTTTTCGCTGCTGAAAATTTAATTTCGTTTTTTCGCGAGACTTCCCAGGCGAAAGCAAAGAAAATGCGCCAAAGGGAGCGACTGTGGGACGGAAAACATGTCCAAAAGTCACATCAATTTATTTATATCTTTAATGACTTGAGCCGCTGGAAAATCGCTGCGAATTGGTTGAGCTCAGGGCAAAGAGAGGATTTCCCCCACCCGTAGAGAGTATTCCAAATGTTTGCCGTGTGCTACGTGCAATTTTTGTGCTACCCAAAACTCCGAAAGGAGCATCCAGCGTCCATAAAATATATTGGCCGTATCTGTGTGCAGTTCTTTCCCCCACAAGTCCCTTTCCAACTCCACCACCCTCTCCCACTTCCGCCCTCTCTCCGTGTGTCGCTTCCGTTTTAATTTAAAATACCCATAAATTTTCCAACATTTCATTTGGGAGCCATTTTCCGTTTTCATGTTGTAACATTTCGTAATTGTCTTGTGCGTGTGCCAGAGCGGGACGGCCACAACTATCGCGCTCTCTCTCGCTCTCTCACTTCTGAGTGTTTTATAATTTGGTTTAAATTTTAAAGCTCGTGTAAAATGTGAGGTGTAAATGGTATTAGTTGAGCCTGAAAACGAGTCTGCAAAGCGGCGGGGCAGGGCAGACACTTTTGCTTTCAGTGCCAAAAAAAAAGGTGCAACAGGAGAGGTTTAGTGGCAAAGGTTTAAAGAATTTACTTAAAGGTGTTTTGCTGACTGAAATAATTTGCGAGCTGCTGTTGCATTTAATTCCTTGTCATAACATCTCCTTCTTGGGTTCATTCTTTTCATCCATCATCGCTGCCTTCCTTCCCTCTTTATTTTTTTTGCTTCCACCCACTTTCCTGTTAATCTGCTCATTAAAAAATCTTTACTTGCTGCCTGCTCCTGCTGGCTGGCCCCTTATCCGTCCACTAATCCAATCGTCCTGTAGGGACATGTCTGCCTCACACATTCATTAAACGCAGCTCAAGAGGCGCGTCCCAGCCACCCGACACCTCAAGTTAATAAACAGCCCTTAGCCCTTAGCCCTGTAGCCCAAAGGCTTTGACTGCAAAGGCAAGACTCAAGTAAAAATTGTCGCCTGGGCCATAAAACATAACTCATACGCAGCGTTGGCCCCATCCCAGGATGCCACTCAACTCTGCTTAAGCCGCCACATTTCATGTTTATTCATTTATGTTGCAGGATTTTTATTTCTTGCTTCTTTATAGAGCCGCGAATGTGTCGAGCGTTTTGTAAACTCATTAAAATGTGCTCATTGTGCTCATACAGTGCGGTGCATAAAGTTATGGCCGCTGCGGGAGGCCTTTTGGAGTCTATAGCGATTTTTAATTAAGACGAGCTCTCGAGAGTCAGGGCTTTGATTTATATTCGCTGTGCCAGTCGATTGGCTTTTTAAAGTTTTCTCTTTCTGGGGAGTAGTTTGGGGGTCTGGGACTGCCATTTGTTGCTGAACTAATGCCAAATGTGGCAGACATTTAAATAAACGTTAAGAAGGTTGACGCAGAGTGGCAGCCAGTCTGGGCAAACAGAGAGCGAGCGAGCTTCTGGGCTAACTTTAGTCAAGGACGCGGGCAAAATGGATGATGATTATTCTGCCATTTCCCCCAGAGCTGAGCAACAGGAGACATGTGTGAGGGGAGCTGAATGCCCTCCAGCTGGCATCTCTGTCACTTTTGGAGTATCCACCGCCAGCTGATGTGCGGAAGGCAAACCCAAGTGCTGCTGCTCGCTCGCGCAGGCTTCGTCTTACTTTCTAGCCATCGCTCTCTGGCTTACTCCCTCTCTCTTTCCCACTCCCTCCTCCTCACACCTTTCGCCGCTTCTGCCTGTCTGTCGTGCAGTTACGTAAATTATTGTCTGCTCTTCCTATTGCTCTGCGCTGCTCAGCTCCCGCTCCTCTGCTCCCCTGTCTTCTTCTGCTCTTCCTCATGTCACTTCAGCTTGGCGCTCCTCTTTTTTGTTGTGTCCAAAGCTCCACACATGGCAGCCATGTACATGTTTTGTATTTTATTGCATATTCCCCATTTGGCTTGTACATTCTGCTCACTCCCTCTGCCAGCCCCTTCGGCACTTAAAGACCCAAAACGAGAAAAAGTTTTCTTTTCTCTGCCAACATTTGTATTAAAGCGGCAGACTTTTCCCCTATTTTCGCGGCATATTAAAGTGGGATTTACTTCGGCAAAATAGTGTTTTGTCCGGGTTGCCATAGTAATAATGTCTGCTTGAAGTGGGTTGCGGAGTGGTCTCTGGAGTGGTGTGGAGTGGATACTTATAAGTAAGATGAATTGTCTGCCAGACTTACAGAGAGAGAGAGAGAGCTGCCGGTATTAGAATTTAAATTGTGCCGCGAGGGAGCAATGAAATGATGTGTAAGAGCTCCGTTTATGTTCAAAGTTTATGCATGTGCTTAGGTCAAGAATTTAGAAGGAGTTCATGCCAAGAAGTGGCATGAAAATATGCATATTTTATTTAAACCCAAACAGGCACCCAATAGTCAAAGAAATATTCGCTCCACACACACATCCCAGCCCCTTCAGACACCATTCAAGCCGAACCCCAAGCCAAAGTCGCTCCACACACACGGAGAGGCTGGATAGTGAAACGGGACGCGGGATTAATTCATTTAAAAGTCGTTAGGAGCGAGCCATAAAAAAATAGATGGAAACATTTGACGGAAACGGGGAGAGACCGGAGACGGCAAAAGCCCGCGGCAGCAGGAGCAGCAGCAGCGGCAGCTGAAATCCTTTTCTGCGCTTAAGTGATAAACAAATACACTGCTATTCGGCAAACACTAAACACACACAAATATAGAGAGGAAAATCAGCGAAGGGGATCGAACTTTTAGATGCCCTGCAAAGAAACAGCAGGGAAGCTTCACGGTAGAGGCAAATGAAACTCTCGTTTGTTAGGCAAACTTCATGCAAAAATCAATGTACTCTTCCCCCAGCGCACATCCAGATGCGAATGCATAAGCGCGCAGACAGACAGACACCAAACCGGCAAAGCCAGCAGATCGAGTGTGAAAAGTGGCAAGCTCTGAGTCGCACCCGCTCCCACTCCTCTTCCACTACCCAACGGTACAGCTTCTACGCCAAGCCGACACAGAGTGCCATGCTCTGGTGTGCCAAATCCCACCCCCACCATTTACCCAATTGAGACTGCGATTCCGACTGCATCATCAGCATAATCAACGCGGCTCTCCCTCCCCACCCGTTCCGTTAGCTTTTTGCGTCGTAAATTTACAGAGTGCTCTGCTGGTCATGGCAGGGGCGTCGCCGAAAGTCGTAAGGTGCGTAACAAAACTAACTCATTAAATAGGAAATTCTGTGGAATATTTACTTTAGATCAGAAATCAGCGCAGATCAGAAATTAATTTAGGAAGTCGGGAAAAAAAAGCTTGGGGCCCGTCCGGGATATGAACCCGGGACCTCTCACACCCAAAGCGAGCGTCATTCTTCTAGACCAACGGGCCGCTTCAAAGCTAAGCAGCCGTCCGATAAGATAAGCGTGGCTCCTGTAGGGATCAGGATACAACCTCATTAATTAATTAATTTCCATAACGAAAATTCCTTATTGATAAAGGCGCATAAACGGCTTAAATAGAAAGCTAAACCCTTCTGCCGTCGTATACTTTCGTTACGCACCTTACAAAATGTGTCTTAGACCAAAGCCACACTCTCTCTTTCAGTCTATCCCTCTCGCTCACAGCTCATCAGCGGCAGCGGCAGCGCTGACTTTTGCTGAAGCTGCTGCTGTCGCTGCTCAACCTCCGTTATGTCTTTATTTGTCTGTCTGTCTGACATTTGCTCTTTGCGCTCTCTTACTCTCACTCTCCTTCTGCCGCTCCTTTGCTTTTTTTCGCTTAATGTATGTTTACCTTTCGTTAATGAAGTTGTTGCCCACCGCCGCCGCGCTGCTGCCGCCGACAGCCACATCCAGTGAACAGTTATTTTTGCAAAAATATTTTTGCAGTTCACCAAATAATATGTTGGACTGAGGGAAAAAAGACTGAAACAGACACCAGAAGGGAATCGAAAGAGGAGTAGACGAGCGATGGTGAGCGGAAGATATCGAGCAAAAAGGAGTGGCAGCCGTAGGGAGAATTAAAAATAAAAGCAATTAGTTTGTTCATCACTCAACAGATGGCAGGTTTTTTTTTAAAACCTTTCGCTTGGCTCTCACTCTTCTCGGTCCTGTCTGTTACTATCATTCGCGCTGCTGCCAGCTCTTTCATTATGAATGAAAGAAAGCATGGAGCTGAAATAATAATTATGCATGCAAATAAGAGAAAAAGAGCAGTGAGAGTGCAAGGAAGAGAAAAAGTATCGGAAGAGCATGGCAGCAGGTTGGAGAACGAAGATTGTGGAAGAACTTGGAACACAACTTATTATAAAGACAGATGAAAAATATATGTATTTAATCTTTCGATTCCTTTGATTATACATTTTAAATTCTTATTATTTTTCGTTTATGGTTCATCGCCTCCCAGCCTCTATAGGGCACTCCCCACGTCGACTTCCATCTCGTAACTTTCTCTCTCTTTTAAATAATTTGTAATTTTTATGCCTCCTCCACACACATTCTTTTGCCATTTGCTTACCTTGAGGAAAAACAATCCACCAGCTGGCAGGGTGATGCGATGAGAGCCCGGCAGTATCTTCAGTGGGACTCCGTCCTTATACCACTGAATGGTGGGCGTGGGGCTGCCCTCGGCTTTGCAATTAAGCGTCGCTGGCTCGTGTCGTGGCACTGTCGTATCTATGGGATGCTCCACTATTCGTGGCGGATGTGAACCTGCCAAAGAGTGAGAGAGGGAAAGAAATGTTGAATATAAAAATTGCAAAAGGATTCAACGGGGGTTGGGTTGGTGTTGGCTCTGGTGGCTGGGGGTGATGCGGGGCTTTCCGTTTTCCGCTGCGTCAGTCGACATCATCATCGTCAGCGGTTTGTGTGGAGCAAAAGCAAATGGGTAAAAGAAGAGTAAGACGAGAAACGCTCGTTGGCCAAATGAAAACAATGTTAATGCGCATTGCCGTTGACGTTGCAAATGAAGTTGCAGTTTGCATTTGCGACAGCAGCAGCAGCAGCAGATGGCGGGGCGGGGAGGAGCAGTGGTGTGTCCTGACTTGCTCAAAGGATTCAGTTTGGAATTAATTTGTTTAGATTTGCATATGCGGCAAAGGACCCCAGCTAGCTGGTAGCTTAGCAGTTAAGTATTTTTCTTCCTCTACTTTTTGTTTTGTTTTGCATAATGCAAACGTTGAGGGAAATTAGTTGGGTGGAAAAGGGGAGGGTGGAGTGGATTGGCGATAGCAAAAAGGCTGTACACCTTGACAGGGTTCATGGGTTAGATAAGCCCAGGGATTAGCATACTCGTTTTTTACAGAACATTATTAAGCAAATGTTGTAGCCTAGTCCCAAGTTGACAGCTTTTGTGGTTGCCGCTGTTCTCTGGAGCATTTGCAATGGTCCTTCAGTCCTCTGCATATTGCTTCTATTCGAATGAACAGCATTGTATTTGCTTTGACTGTCAATTCCGTTAGTTCTTTGGCAGTGATCGCTGCTCAGTGAAGCAGGTTGCTGCACAAAATAATGTTGTCTGGCAGTGGCAGTGCAAGTGGAGTGCAATGCAGGAGAGCCGTTTACTGGTTAGATGTTGGAGAAAATGAATGAGGACGCCTCGCACTTGTATGTGTCTGAAGAGAGCTTTTCGCACCGACGCGTCCATCGTTGACGCTGGCTTCTCTGCTCTGCCCACTGTTAACAGAGTCTTTCTCTCTCGCACTGTTACTTGCTCTGTTAACTCCACAGTCTCTGTTAGGCTCTCTGTGGAAGCGTGTGATCGCTGTCCACACAATTCTTTTAATACTTAAACTCCTCTGTTTCTTGCAGTACTTTCATGTGCATAAATTGAAAGCCATTTGCTTCAAACTCCAATTGTTTATTCTCACATTTCTGCCGCCTCAAGCACCGAGAAATCCCATTTAACGTGAGTTTCCTTCAATGGTTATCACCCACAACTATTGCCACCCAAATCAATTCCACCGCCCCGAAACCAATCTGCGGGGAAGTGTGCGCTATACCGCAATCTTTATTTGCTAACCGCAAAACTCTCGAGTGTTTGCCAGCCAGCCAGCAAATCTGTCAATGGCAAAAGACATAAATTTCAATTTTCATGCCATATCTAAACAATTTGCTGTCAGCTACAGTCACGCCCCCGCCCACACGGACGTACGCACACTGAGTGCGAAAAGTAAATGGCAGAAGATGCAACAACTTTATGCAGCAGGAATTCTATAAATAAATTGCAGTGAGCGGTCGAGAGGGATTAAATATGTGAAAACTGTTTACTGGGTATCTTAATGTCGCGACACGTTTGCCGCTTTGCTCTCTCTGTGACTGTGTGCCGGCAGGCCATTCCGCCTGAAAATTGATATGTCAGAAAATGTTGGAATATTGAAACGTTATTTAATAAAAGCCACCGCCGAGCACATTTGTTGCCGCTGCCAGTTTGTTGTTGATTGCAACAAGACAACAACAACATCAAATGGCAAACAGCTCGAGGCAAAAGTTGCATGTCATCCCGCAATAACAACAACAACAATCAACGATGTTGCAAGCTGGAAATCGAATTCCGAAATTTCGGAGAAAACCATTCTACAGGGGGGTGTGGGACCAGCAGACGTGTTGCATGTCCAGGAGAACTACTGAGGGGTGCGCTGGGGACAACCAGCAAGACGGCATGTCAATGTTATTTCAACAACGAACATGAAAATAAAACATTCAAGTGTATGGGTGTGGGCGGGGAGTTATGACAGCAGTCGAAAAATCAACATGCAATGCAAGTAAGAAAAAGTAAATAAAAGGGAATGGGAATGGGAATGGGAATGTCTTTTGAAGAGAAAAAGGTGCTGCCTGAGGTGACGAAGAGATGCTCTTTGTGGGGAGAAGCTTTGCTCAAAACTGCGTCCAATGATGAGTTTTGCTGCCAAGAAGAGAGTCTCAAAGCTGCGGAATCTTTTGAAATGAATTCAAAGGAATAAGTTTCGCCCTTAAAGCCATCTCCCACTCATCTCTAAGCAAATACCACCACAAAGTGAATCAACCTTGCGCCCTGCAGAGCACCAACAAAAAAAAAAAAAAAACATTCAATGTGTCGTCTCGCCGCTGCACAATTCGAGGGTTAAATGTCGCATGTTGCGGGGTTGTGGGCACCCTTCGGGTTGTCCAGGGCAAAACTTGCTCAACCATGGACATAATTTTCGTTTTTTTTGGGGTCCTTGTTTGTGCATATCTTTGCTGACCAGGCACAAGGAGCGGAGACCACGACAGCACCAAAAGTTGGGCTGGTGCGGTTCTGGGCCCTGCGGTGATGCTCAACACCTAAAAAAAAGGGCTTTTCCGGGCCTTTGTTTTGATTACGCTTCATTTTCCAGTTTGTTTGAACAGCACACAAAAAAACAAAAGCCAGGGAAAACCTTGGCGACTTGCAGCTGAATAATTCAATTAGTGGACGCTGAAAATTTAGCCAACTGCAACGATTTCCCCGTACATGGCTGTGTGCTGGCCCAGAGGCCTACTAATTTAGTTTTAATTGCATGCCAGGGAAAAGCCACACACACGGGAGGAGTGGATCGCATATCGTATGTACGGGATAGAAAGGAAAACATAGAGGACGAAGAATGTAACGACATGGAAAATGGTTGAAATTTGCATAAAAGCAGCAAAGGCATTTGCCCAACGCTTATGCAAAATGCATCAAATAGTGGATGGGAGGTGCAGGAGTTGGTGGAGCAACCCGAAAGCAACTAAAATCCAACAGCCAGGCATCTGGAGTGGCAAGACCAAGGCGATGGTGAAGGCGAAGGCGAAGACGTAGACCCAAGGACCAACGACCAAGACTTTGTCTAAATGCCTGAAGAAATTGCTGAGAAAACGTTTCGCCAAACTGGGTTTCACTTAACAAGCAAAATATTTGCTGCAATTTCCTTAAACATTTTCTTTTCCTTTTACTGGAAGCAGCAGCAAGTGGGGGGAGCAGCGAAGAGAGAGAGAGAGAGAGAGAGAGAGAGAGTGCAGGCAGTCATGTGTATGTATATAATAACACACATTTGCATGGCTACCTCGGAAAAATACCCTAACGATGCATACAGCCATTCAACCATGTGGCCCGTGCACGGTACAAAGCTTGCGCTCGCAATGGCAGCGATCGTTACAGTCTCTCTTGCTGTTACTTGCGCTGTTACTGGCTCTGTTAACAGTGCAGACTCTGTTGTCTCACTTGGACATGTTAACTTCCCACCAAATACGACATGCAGCAGGTAGCAATGCTTTGGGTCGGGCAGCGCAGTCGGCTAGAGCGCAGCGTGGAAGCTTCGTGTGCACAGAGATCCGACGCAGCGGCAGAGAAACAGCTTCGTGGCTTTGTGGCCCATTCACAATTGATCGGCTGCGCGCAGCGGCAGAGAAGCAAGAAACGTTTTTGCGTGGCTGCATGCCGAGCTCTGTTAAAGAGTATTCACAGTTCTCTCTCTCTCGCTCTAAGTAAAACTTTCCTTCTCAATGCTATTGTTGTAGGTGCTGCCAGCAGTTGTAGCTGTTGTTGTTATTGTGTGCGGGGTGGGGCACTGCATAGTTTGTTGCCGTCGCAGCCGTCGCTCGGGGGGTCAAAAATAAAACAATGGCTCTCTCATGCAGCCTTCGTTATTTGCTTCCAACGGGCTCCTTCAACGCCTTTGGAAGTTGCTTATGTGTTGCATACTTCAAGGAGCCAGCGGCCTTAGCTGCTTTCGCATCATCAATCAAAGGCAGAGCCCATAAGGAGAAAGCTCTCTCTCTCTCTCCCACTCTCTCTTTCTGTCGGCTTCCTGATACACCCATTGTTGTTTTAATTATAGCCCCGGCTCAGGACCTGCTAATTGTTTTAGTAGCATACTTTTCGACACACAACTTTTCTTGTTGATTCCTTCGTCTTCAGTCTAAGGCACTATGTTAGTCGGGCTTCCCTCCTACTCCTGCTGCTCTGCTCTGCTCTGCAGGACCTTAAGTAGAGCGCGTCCAATGCAATAATTAAATTTTTGCTATAATTTACGTGAAAAAGCAAAGCAACAACAGCTGCTCGCAAAAGTGTCTACAGGCGGGGCGTAATAATGGATGGAAATGGCTGCCAGGACAGGCACAAAAATGGAATTTAAGACCTCCACTTCAACCTCTGCATCATCATCATTGTTGTGCTCACATTTTTGTCAGTCATGGATCTCAATTTTTCTGCTTTTGCGAGAGACAAATTATGTGTTAATTAGGAATTATTATGAGGAGCTTCATCATTGGGCTGAAGAATCCACTTGGGCCAAGTACAGTCATGCTTTTGCCTGCAAAAAATGCGCACAAATTTGTGGGGAAGAATGGATATTTTCTCAATGAGCTGAACTCGAAAGAGGAGCGCTGCTTCCATGAAAAGTTCCTACCAAAATTTCCATTACACTTTTTAAGGGTAACATTTTCCCCCATGCATTCTCCTCCCTTAAGCATAGACCAGTCAAAGAAAAAACCCCCGAAAAACCTTATTCAAATGAAACTCGTGTGCTGCAAGTTGTTTCCGGGGATGTGGAAGGAACGACTCCTGGCCCTGCGGCTTGTTTAGTTATGAATCATAGCGACGCACACACCCATTGACTATCCATCGCTGTGGCAACGGGAGAAACAAAACGTAGCAGGACCATCAATTCTACAATTGTTGGACATGGGACAAGGGTGCCCGTGACTCACATTTGTATTTTGGAGGGTGTCCCCAA